TACTAGAGACGAAGGAAAGTAAAGCGAGTCTCAGACTGAAGGAACATATCTTCAAGTTACATCGAGAATTCTCAGGAACACAAACAGCTTTCATTTCACAAAACCAGACTGCCAGAATCAATTCGTATTTGGGTGGAAATTAAAGGTTCATGCTCGTTAAAATCTGTAATTACACAAAATGTCCTGATATTTTGTTGCTTTGTGAGGCCTGTACAATGTCAAATATAAAATATCTCCAGGTTATATCTGTTTGAATAAAATATTAAAAAGTTAAAATTAAAGGGGACCGAACGTTGAACCCTGTGGGACTCCACGAGTCGTGAAATCAGACGAGCCTGACACGGGCTGATTTAGAAATTTTCAAACACATCAGGAGAATCTTAACATATCTTCTTCTCTATAATCTTGTCATGCTCACACCACAAGATATGAAAATAACGACACATCACAGACTACAGGATTTTATTAAGGTCATCGTGCCTGGTGGAGGAATACACCGCCTCCAGTGACCTTACGTAAACACTGAACGGAGGCTGTGATCCTCCAAGCAGGCGGCCCAGGTTCATTCCCCCCCCCCCCATGATTTCTGACTCTACCCACTGTCCTATATTTCTCATAACAATATAAAAGCCCAAAAATAAACTGTAAAAAAACATCAACAAAACGAGACAAAAACATTTCAGACAAGATGAGGGGAAATTATGGATTTCTTCTCGCTACAGAAACAGAAAAACTCTGAGAACACGTCGGCTGTTGCATCCACGTTGTTTTTGTGCTATTATTAAGAATATAACAACTATTAACCCTTTAAACTTTAAAATAAAACACTTGATCATACACGTTTCTCTCCAGCAGCTACAGCTGATATCTTTCAGGGAAATGTCGGATTCTGTTAATCTAACTTTTTAGGAGTCAAACTAAACTCATAAATTACCGACTTTATCCTACAAAACAACCGCTAACGACTGATACCTAAAAGCTATATTATAAATATGATAAATAAGTTAAATAATTCTGGGTTTTAAAAGACAAAAAACACTTTTAGCATTTTCCATTTTATCCGCCCTCGTTTTAGATTTTATCTGTCGGAAACTGAATATGGAATAAAAATCTTTAACTCTGACACCTAGTGTTTAAAATGGGTACTGCAGTCTAAATTCTAAACATCATAGAGAGCTGTCTCCCCCCCACCGCCTACCTTCTCTGGTCCAAACAAATCCAGAGCATTCAGGACCAGAATCTAAAGTTAGAAGGAGGACATACTAACTGGTTTCTTTAATGTCTGATCATAGAGTGATGTCAGTTTATTTGAGCTCTGCTTCGTTTCTGTCGAGAAGAAGGTCACTGTAGCTTTTTCCCTTTAAATCCTGTTCAGACGTTTGTAAATCAACGTTCAGTTTCATCAAGTTTTATTTCTACAGTGGACAAAAAAACAGAAACTACGTCACCATAACAACATGTGCTCTGTCACGTAATGCTCTAAAATCTATTTCTACTGTAGATATGATCTTTATAGTTTCTCTTTATAGTATTCTGAGGTAGAATTCTCTCTCTTTTCTTAATAGACTATTTTAATGTTTAACAGCTGGGATCAACACAGATCCATCTTTCTGGAGTTTTTCAGTGCAGAGCAGTCAAACTGCGTCATCATCACGAGACAGTACGAGATACAAAAACGAAACGACCACAGCACTCAGTAAAAAGCCCTAAATGATCCCGACTCATAGCACCACCGTTATAAATCAAGTTGTATCAAATGTTTGGTCAGAGTTTGTGAGAAAGGCACGTACTGACAAACAGAAACGATGCTACATGAAAAAACAGCTACGAGTTCTTGAAAGAGGTTCAAACACCTGAAAGATCAAGTTCAGTTTCACATGGATGCGTCTCAATGTACGGGAAGGTAGAGAGACTCCACTGACAGGGGGCGGAGCCTCACGCAGCAGAACGCGTCACAGCATCCAGTCTGTCAGCAGCCGTCAGAAGATTGAAACTCGTTGTTTCGTCTGACGTCCTGGTGGTTTTCTCTCAGATTAAGGGGCCGAGGCTCAGCAGACGAGTGCAGCATCACAGGAGAAGAAGGACAGGAAGGAGGAGAAGAAGGAGGAGGGGAAGGAGGAGGAGAAGAGGAAGGAGGAGAGGAAGGGGAAGAAGAGGAAAGGAAGGAGGAGAGGAAGAAGGAGAGGAAGAAGGAGAGGAAGGAGTAAGAGGAGAGGAAGGAGGAGAGGAAGAAGGAGAGAAAGAAGGAGAGGAAGGAGTAGGAGGAGAGGAAGGAGGAGAGGAAGAAGGAGAGGATGGAGGAGGAGGAGAGGGAGGAGGAGAGGAAAGGGAAGAAGAGGAAGGAGGAGAGGAAGTAGGAGGAGGAGAGGAAGGAGGAGAGGAAGGGGAAGAAGAGGAAGGAGGAGAGGAAGGAGGAGAAGAGGGAGGAGGAGAAGAAGGAGGAGGACAGGAAGGATGAGGAGAAGAGGGAGGAGGAGAAGAAGGAGGACAGGAAGGAGGAGGAGGAGGAGGAGGAAGGAAGGAGGAGGAGGAGGAGGAGGAGGAGGAGGAGAGGAAGGAGGAAAGGAAGGAGGAGGATTCAGGTTTATGGAGATCTCACTGACATTTCCACACAAACAAACTGTAGAGGAGAAACAGAGAGACGATCATTTTAAATGTGATTCACTGAGAGCGGATTACAGCCTCTTACGTCTTCATAAACTGCTCTGACTGAATCTCACCTGCAGTCGCTGCCTCCAGCACTGATGACGTATTTATCATCACAGGAGAAGCGGATGTTTGTCACGTGGGCTGAGTGGCCGAAGTATCGTTTGTGTTTGGCCTGTGAGACGCCAGAGGGAGGAGCCAACAGGTGATTCAGTGATGCCACTCTCACAGGATTCATTGTCACGTTTTCATACTTATATCACTTACGAATTTCTCTGAACACGGGAATTCAAAGAGCTTGATGAGGCCGAAGTCGTCTCCAGTCACCAGGTTGAGACCGGCGTGTGAAACACAAGCACAGTTCACGTCGGCCTTCTCAGTGTTACGAGGCCAAACGCCAAGAACCTCGTCGCCGAGGATGCTGGAAAAAACAAAACACAACGTCACACCAAGATCAATACAGTCGATGCTTCATTTTGAGGGGACGCGATGAGGTCGTCATGACAACAGAACTTTAAACTTTGATATGATTGTAGTAAAAGTTTGAGTTCCCTCAGATCTAACGTTACCTCCCTGATGTGGTTCCCTGGGATGTTCTGATGTTTCTCATGTCAGGCTCTACAGTCAGTTTGTTTGGGTCTGGAGTTTATTTCCATCGGGTTCTACAGTTATTTCTTTAGGACTTCAGATTCTTCCTCAAGGTCATCAGTTTGTTCTCTAAGCTCTAGATGTTCCTCTGTTGTGTTTCCTATTGTTGTAAAGTTTGTTTCTGTTCAGAGAGTTTTCTGTCCTCTACACTCAGTCCTTCTGTTCTTTCTTTTTCTACTTTTAATTATTCAGATATCATTTGATATCTTTGTGTTGATGACGTCCTGGAGTCTGTTTACTTGTTGGTGCTTCCTGTTTTATTTCGTAGTACTTCCCCTCAGTGTTTCCTGTTTTATTTTGTAGTACTTCCCCTCAGTGTTTCCTGTTTTATTTTGTAGTACTTCTCGGTGTTCTCGGTGTTCCATGTCTAGTTTGAGTGCTCTGTCCTCATAGTGTTCAGACCTGTCTGGATTTCCCCCGTGTGTATTTAGTCTCCTACACCCTTCCTCTGACACCTCCTCCACTTTCATGTTTCCTTTGTGTACCTGGTCCAGGTAGCCCAAGTGATCCTCTCAAAGACGGCCTGATCTGTGACCACTTTCCCCGAGGGCACCTCGTGCACCTGGCGAGTGTAGGTGCTGGTGGACACCTGGGATGGAAATCAAAGAGGGACCGTTAAACAGAGTTCAGACTGAACCTCACCAGGTAGTCCAGGTTTGAAGCTTTTGTTACCTGGATGTGTTTGCTGTCGGCAGAGAAGTCGATCTGGATGACGAAGCCGGGGATGTCCTTACAGTAGCCAATCCTGTTCAAGGACGGACCCAGAGAAAGGTCGTAGAAATCCACGGCACTTTCCACTGAACCCACCGCCAAGAACCTGTTATCTGGACTGAACCTGGACCAGCAGGAAACACAAGTTTAGTAACCATCACAGAAAAAGAAGCCCTCCGTGTGTGCAGGTTTATCTGAAGGTGTACCGGATGTCCTGGATGGCCACGCTGCGGTCTCTCTTCTTTCCCCACACGGTGAGCGAGTTGACCAGCAGGACGATGAACTCGCCGTTCTCCATCCCGATGGAAACCATCTCTCCGTTTGGACTGTAGGAGGTGCACTTGGCAGGATGACCTAAACTCACCTTATTCAGAAGTTTCTAACACAGAATCATCGAAGACATCGTTACATGTTGCATTCAAAGACCTCCGTATATCTACCCCTCAGTCCTCAGACTGTACCTTATCAGCCAGGTCCCATATCCGGATGGTCCCATCATCACTGGCAGAGATGAAGACGTCTTTGAAAGGATGAGTCGCCAAACCCCAGATGCCCCCCTGAGTGTGTCCGTTGATCATGGTGTTGGAGGCGGCGTTCTTTTCTCCAACCTCTATGATCTCTCCGTCTTTGGTTCCTACCAGGATTTTACCCTGAAACCATCAGGGGTGAAAGAAAGGACCAATCAGTGAGATGTGTAGTTAGTGAAATGATAAAGTGACCGCTTTATTTCATAAAAGTCTTTAGTCGACCTTAAAAATGAATCAAAACTAGCAAACGCTGACTTGCAGTGATTGCAGCAAATAGAAACTGCTGACATCATCTTCCAGTTTATGCTGAGTCAGACTCTAGTGTGATGAAATGATTAGTGGTGTCATACCTTCCCTCTGCAGACGGAGCGGACGTTCTCTACCGGCTGCCCAGTCTCCAGCTGGAACGCTCTGCAGCGCTTCATCTCCTGATCCCAAAGCTTCACGGCCCCGCCCTCTTTAGTCCTGTCACAAACACAAAAGTCAGGGTTTACCTTCATACCTCTGAGTTCAGACATATCTGCACTATGTATGACATTCATAGAGTGTATATGATCCTTCTTAAGCGAGCCATTTATCTATCAGACCCAAACGAATCCTTCTCTTCCCCTGACCAAGAGTCCACCACATCGTTAGGCTCCGCCTTGCCTCACATGGTACCTGATGAGCCCCTCACTCAACTTCAGTCAACCTAACGACAGGCTGAGAGCTGGAGCTGAGGCGGGTTTTAAACCTCCTGACAAACCGTTACACCGCGCCCACCTGTCAATCAGGTCAGCTACACGCCTTATTGTGAATAACTCTTATCCTTCATCAAATCAAAACTGATGAGTCATCAAAACATTCACCCCCCCGTACAGTGTGTGTCTATCCAGACATGAGCTAATCACACCTATTTGGTTTTTTGAACCAGGCTGTAAACATGTTCATCTCTGCTGTAAAAACAGGCTTTTTAGAATGGGTGTGTATGTGACTTCCTGTGCTTCTGCAGCCGGTTTCAACACCGGAGGTTACTGCTTGACTTAACTCTATCAAATAAAACAAAAGGAAGAACACTTACTGCCTGCAGTGTAACATACTGGTGCCCCAAACAGACGCACCATGTCAGACAATCCTGTGACCATACAGGAAAAACATCCATGAAACCGTCGTCCAAACCAGCGTCTGATCAGCAGCTGTATTATTTATCCCCGCTGATCTAACAGCCTCCAACCACCTCAGACAAACCTCTACAGGTGCCCTTAAGTGCCCGAGCCCCGTTGCCCTGTCAGTAGTTTCACCTTTGCTTACCGCAAACCTTACCTGGTCCTGGTCGCTGCTGTGGCACACACGGAGAGTTAACAAACAAGGGTCAGTGTGACGGTAAATGATCCCCGGTGCTGGAGATGGAGGACAAGGCTCGTGGGGGAGTTTTGAATAATCTTGGAATGGTCTCCTGTGACTAACATAGTAATTCGTTTGAAATGCACGTCCCTAAAACCAACTCTAGACCAAGCCCTGACTCCAGGATTCGATCCCAGTACCCTCAGTCCTGCCTGGACTCTTTAGGATCACCCTGAAACCAGCAGAGGTGTCAGAAAACCACCACTGGTCATCCATCTGGAACCAGTTTAGTTCACTGGCTGCATGAAACAGACCAATGTGCTGAAAGTCTTTCCGACTGTGACCTTAACGCTATCTGTTTTATATTTAACCACTCACGGCCGCTCTTTCCCCCCGGTGACGATGAGTCCATCCCTGAGGGTGGTGTACATGGTGAAGACCGGACCGCTGTGCGCCTTGGCCACCACACGAATCAGGAAGTGTTCCCTCCATACGAACACGTCTCCGTTGATAGCACCGGTGAACGTCAGGTTGTTCTGGATGGACAAACACTGACTCAGTTAAACAAAGAACATGGATTTATTCGTTTGACTTCAAAGGTGAGTCAGATTTAGAGTTCTGTATCTTACAGCACCAAAGGCGACCGACAGCATGGTCTGCATCCGTCCGTCCTCCACCGAGCCGATCACTCCTTTCTTATACACGAGCGACCCTCCAACAAGAGTCCAGAACTTGATGTGTTTGATCCCCACCGACACAAACTGAGAGTCAGAGTCCGGTCTGAACTCCACCACCAAGATCCGCTCAGCGTGGCCTCCTTTACTCGTCACCTTGGAGCCTGAAAGGTCAAAGAGGGGCAAGACCGTCTCTGGTTCTTTAGCTGTCTGAAGGTCGTTACATAATTATTATTCTTTTAAGATCTGAGAATATTTGTACCTTCCTGCCACCTCCACACTGTGATGGTGTGTTCAGGCTCCACCCCCACCGACAGTAGCAGCTTCCCTGTGGCGCTGAAGTTGACGTAGCCGACACCTTTGGCGTGGGAGCAGCGGAGGATGGACAGCGTCTGCTTAGTCATAGCGTCCCACACATGGATGGATGGAGCGAGGCCTGTGAAGAATATACCAGAAACACAGGAACCACAGAACTGAGGAACCACACAATCACGGCAGCAAGGGACCCAGGAGCTAAGGAGGCAAGGACCCAGGAGCTGAGGATGCAAGGAACTGTGGACCTGGGGACCAAATAGGTTGTAGAAGAAAAGGAACCATGCCCTTTAAGGGAAGTATTTTCTGAGAGTACTTTGGGTTTGATCAGCAGCATTGAACATTTGTGATCTGTTGATGACTCGCAGCACTCGATGAGACCGAATCATTTGGTAAATCTTTAAGGCTCTTTAGACCTCAGTGGATCCTAGGGCTAAGAGTCTAGGGTCGTTTTGGTAGAAACTCTACAATTGTATCCAGGGGGGCCTTCAGCTAGCAAAGGCACTAAAGGACAGTGGAGCAAGGAATTTAAGGCCCACAGTATCCATCTGGAACCAAGGACTCAAGGAACTGAGGTGCTGAAAGGCTTCAAAGTAGCTGATGATCTGGGGGATCCTTGGAACTATGGACTCTGAACAATGGTGCTATGGGAGCCACCGAACCAATGAACAGAAGGACGAGGGGACATGAACAACAAAGGGCTTTAGCAACTGTGCAAGCAAGGATTGGCTGAACAGTAGGACCAAGGAGCCTAAAATCCACAGATAAGACGGTCATGAAACAGAAGGAACTTTGGAACCAACACACAGGATGAGGCTTTAAGTAAAGACCACGGGAATGAAGGACCAAGGAATCAAGAATCTAAGGGGGTATGGGAGCCAACGAACTAAAACAGATGAACAGCAGTAAAAATGGAAACACAGAAACATGGAATCAATGAGTTGATGGAGCAACAGATCCTTTGTACTCTGGAGCTAAGGACTGATGGGATACAGGAAGCAAAACATCCGGGACGTAAGAAACCAATAAACTGGGACAAGAAGTAGATTCTGAACAAGGAAGAATTTCAACTAAATCAGCTGTGAGTGTAAACAACAGGCTAAGAAACAACAGGCTAAGATTGAGGAAGGCAGGGTACCAAAAGAAACCTCTATTTTAAGATTGGGACGTGCATGCTTTAGTCAACTAAACGATGAATGAACAGTTGGGTAAACACATGACACTTGGTAGTTAGTTCCACCACCGGGGGGCGACAGAGTCTAGTTAGTGACTTAGGACCCTGTTGTGAAGGACGGATCAGATGCTTTTCATTGGCAGAGCGTAGTGAGCTGGAGGGAGTGTAGGCCTGGATCAGAGAGTTTAAACTTTAGGTCAAGGGGGAGTTCTTTCTGTTGCTGTTTTGTAAGCCAGCAACAGAGTTTTAAATTTGATGCGAGCAGTACATCTTATTGAAACTGGTCTCGTGGATCTCCTGCTTTGGACCAAAGTGTTGGACAGAGCGTTCTGTGTGATCATGGCTGATGGGTTAAAATAAACAAACACTGCGTTCTGTAAAGCAGGTAAACAACAGTCATGCCTGACGCTCATGCCTTGATATCGTCTCTATCTCCAGGTCAATCTTCTACAGGACTCGTGGAAAACCTGCCTCTAGCACAAACACAACACACAGCAAATACAGTCATCACCCAGGCTAACTCGGCTAGCTTAACATGCTGACAAGAGGCGCCAAGCAATGACCTGCGACAGGTCCGACTTGCTTTAGTTTCTCTCCTGACATGCTCACACAGATATGGACACGCGTGAAAACACTGTTTATGAAACTGTTCATCCTCGCCATAGAAAGTACAGATTCGATTTATTCACCAGTCAGATATCATTTAATCTGAGTTTCATTGTGTTACAATATCAGTTCTCTGTCACCAGCAGGGGGCGCTGTATAGATTACAACAAACATCATCACTCTGCAGAGTGTCGAGCGGTGATGCACCTTCATGCTCAGATACTTTCAGCTGAGTGATCATCTTGTCTTCATTAGAAATCTTTTTAAAATGTTTGATAACTGAGGGATCAACACAGTAAATGTGTTTATCAATATCTATCTGTCTATACAGATCTAAGAAAGATATCGGCCGATATATCAGTATCGTCCCCAAACATCAGATATGGTTCGGGCCCTATTTTTGACCACATGATTAAAATTCCATCATTTTGCATTTAAAAATAAAATTTGTCAGGCTTTTATTTTGAAGGTTTGTCCTGTCTTAAGCTGAGAGTACTTTACTTCCGGTGTGCTTTTATTTTGAAACAGAGTAAGGCCCTTCTGGTAGCTGGAAGGTTAGGACATGAAGTTAAGCACAGAAACAGGAAGTGGTTAGGGATCCCAAACTGAGGTCAAACAGCTTGAAGGAACGGTAACAAAGGTCAATGTGTGATGTCATAAGGTCAATGTGTGATGTCACAAGGTCAATGTGTGATGTCATAAGGTCAATGTGTGATGTCACAAGGTCAATGTGTGATGTCATAAGGTCAATGTGTGATGTCATAAGGTCAATGTGTGATGTCACAAGGTCAATATGTGATGTCATAAGGTCAATGTGTGATGTCATAAGGTCAATGTGTGATGTCATAAGGTGGATATTACTGCGGACTCGACAGCTGAGCTGTCTGAGTCTGTTAAAGCCGAGGGTCAGCGTGAATGATTCAGGAGGATAAACCGTGTTTTCAAGGATCCAACTGAGTGCAGACATGCTCTCTGACAGACAGGGTCAGGGGTCAGGGGTCAGGGGGCGGAGCTAACAAACAGAACATTCTGGCTCCTGACAGCTGATACTCACCCGACACATCAGCCTCTACACACCAAGAGCGAACGACACCGACAAGGTTAAACACTGCGCTCTCCACATGAACACACACACACAGAACCATGAGAGTGAGCGAGTGGGAGATGAGTGACAGCAGGAAGTCTTACCTGGAAGGTCGCTGATGTCACCTGGCGATGAGGTGAGGCGGTGACAATGAGGAAGCAGTGGAAAGAAAACAAAGTGCAGCGGGCAGAAAGCAGCCGGTCATGCAGGAGAACAACTCGCTGATCAGAATTAATGAACCTGCTGACGTGATTATACAAACATACCAGAGAGTGTGTGTGTGTGTGTGTGTGTGTGTGTGTGTACTCTGTGTGTGTGTGTACTCTGTGTGTGTGTACTCTGTGTGTGTGTGTGTGTGTGTACTCTGTGTGTGTGTGTACTCTGTGTGTGTGTACACTCTGTGTGTGTGTGTACACTCTGTGTGTGTGTGTGTGTGTACTCTGTGTGTGTGTGTGTACTCTGTGTGTGTGTGTACTCTGTGTGTGTGTGTGTGTGTGTGTGTGTACTCTGTGTGTGTGTGTACTCTGTGCGTGTGTGTGTGTGTGTACTCTGTGTGTGTGTGTACTCTGTGTGTGTGTGTGTGTGTGTGTGTGTGTGTGTACTCTGTGTGTGTGTGTGTGTGTGTGTGTGTGTGTGTGTACTCTGTGTGTGTGTGTGTGTGTGTGTGTGTACTCTGTGTGTGTGTGTGTGTGTGTGTGTACTCTGTGTGTGTGTGTACTCTGTGTGTGTGTGTACTCTGTGTGTGTGTGTGTGTGTGTACTCTGTGTGTGTGTGTACTCTGTGTGTGTGTACACTCTGTGTGTGTGTGTACACTCTGTGTGTGTGTGTGTGTGTACTCTGTGTGTGTGTGTGTACTCTGTGTGTGTGTGTGTACTCTGTGTGTGTGTGTGTGTGTGTGTGTGTACTCTGTGTGTGTGTGTACTCTGTGTGTGTGTGTGTGTGTGTACTCTGTGTGTGTGTGTACTCTGTGTGTGTGTGTGTGTGTGTGTGTGTGTACTCTGTGTGTGTGTGTGTGTGTGTGTGTGTGTACTCTGTGTGTGTGTGTACTCTGTGTGTACTATGTGTGTGTGTGTGTGTGTGTGTGTGTGTGTACTCTGTGTGTGTGTGTGTGTGTGTGTGTGTGTGTGTACTCTGTGTGTGTACTCTGTGTGTGTGTGTGTGTGTACTCTGTGTGTGTGTGTGTGTGTACTCTGTGTGTGTGTGTGTACTCTGTGTGTGTGTGTGTACTCTGTGTGTGTGTGTGTGTGTGTACTCTGTGTGTGTGTGTGTACTCTGTGTGTGTGTGTGTACTCTGTGTGTGTGTGTGTGTGTGTACTCTGTGTGTGTGTGTGTGTGTGTGTGTGTACTCTGTGTGTGTGTGTGTGTGTGTGTGTACTCTGTGTGTGTGTGTACTCTGTGTGTGTGTGTACTCTGTGTGTGTGTGTGTGTGTGTACTCTGTGTGTGTGTGTACTCTGTGTGTGTGTACACTCTGTGTGTGTGTGTACACTCTGTGTGTGTGTGTGTACTCTGTGTGTGTGTGTGTACTCTGTGTGTGTGTGTGTACTCTGTGTGTGTGTGTACTCTGTGTGTGTGTGTGTGTGTGTACTCTGTGTGTGTGTGTACTCTGTGTGTGTGTGTGTGTGTGTGTACTCTGTGTGTGTGTGTGTGTGTGTACTCTGTGTGTGTGTGTGTACTCTGTGTGTGTGTGTGTGTGTGTACTCTGTGTGTGTGTGTACTCTGTGTGTGTGTGTACTCTGTGTGTGTGTGTGTGTGTACTCTGTGTGTGTGTGTACTCTGTGTGTGTGTACACTCTGTGTGTGTGTGTACACTCTGTGTGTGTGTGTGTACTCTGTGTGTGTGTGTGTACTCTGTGTGTGTGTGTGTACTCTGTGTGTGTGTGTACTCTGTGTGTGTGTGTGTGTGTGTACTCTGTGTGTGTGTGTTCTCTGTGTGTGTGTGTGTGTGTGTGTGTGCTCTGTGTGTGTGTGTGTGTGTGTGTGTGTACTCTGTGTGTGTGTGTACTCTGTGTGTACTATGTGTGTGTGTGTGTGTGTGTGTGTGTACTCTGTGTGTGTGTGTGTATGTGTGTGTGTGTGTAGATCTTTGTGACCTCACACTCACCGATCTGTCCCGTGGCGATGATGTTTTGATATTTGGGGTGTTGATTGACAGTCAGACACAGGATGTCGTCCGTGTGTTCCAGGTAAAAACTCTGAGTTCCTGTCAGGAAGTGTGATGTCATCATGAACAACATTCAAAGCAGGAGAAGAAGAAGACGCTCAGTGCGTGAGTGTTACAGACCAGCAGACAGGTTCTGGATGATGACGGCGGCGGCCGTGTGAAAGATGATGTCAGCGCCGTCGTTGAGGTAATGCAGGTTGTTCCGACAGTCGAAGCCTCTGTAGCCAAAGACGTGTTCCAACACCAGCTCCTGAACGCAACACGACGAGCACACACACACACACACACACCTGTTCACACTGAGGTCATTGAACACAACACGACACACACACCTGTTCACACTGAGGTCATTGAACACAACACGACACACACACCTGTTCACACTGAGGTCATTGAACACAACACGACACACACACCTGTTCACACTGAGGTCATTGAACACAACACGACACACACACCTGTTCCCACTGAGGTCACTGAACACAACACGACACACACGACCTGTTCACACTGAGGTCATTGAACACAACACGACACACACACACTTGTTCACACTGAGGTCATTGAACACAACACAACACACACACACACACACACACACACACCTGTTCACACTGAGGTCATTGAACACAACACGACATACACACACCTGTTCACACTGAGGTCATTGAACACAACACGACACACACACACTTGTTCACACTGAGGTCATTGAACACAACACGACACACACACACCTGTTCACACTGAGGTCATTGAACACAACACGACACACACACACCTGTTCACACTGAGGTCATTGAACACAACACACACACCTGTTCACACTGAGGTCATTGAACACAACACACACACCTGTTCACCCTGAACCATGTGACAGGAAGTGTTGGTACTCACCTCCACCACCTTCTTCTTCTTGGTCACGTTGTTTCTCAGCAGCTTGTCGGGCAGCGGAGCAGCTCGACTCACAGGAGGTCTGACAAAGACACGTTCAGGGAACATCGGTAAAAAACAGTATCTCAACATGTTGTCCTCAGAACGGCGGATGAATAAACGTGCTGTGTACCTCTCCTCCACAGGAAGCTCTTTGTGCTGCAGGTGAGGTCGGGTTCCCGTCATGTTTCTGATGCTGGCCGAGTAGATCTTTGTGACATAGTCCACCGCCTTCTCCCGCGCCACGTCACTGTCGTACCCTGAAAACAAACACATCCAGTCGGTCTTAACGAGAGAAGAAGAAAACCTCAGATGTCTTTGAACATAACGGCGTCTGTGTCACCCCCGTCCTCCTCGGTGTCGTCGTCCGACTCCTCGCTGTCCACAGCTTTGCTCTCTTTGTGACCGGGAGGCTCTCTGCTCCAGATCATCAGCGCCGTGTCGGCCCCGCCCACCGACAGCAGGAGGGAGTCGTCGTTGGACCAGCGGACGTTGGTGACGTTGGTGCTGTGACCCATGTACTTCTTAAACTTAGCAAACTGTCCCTGAGGTCGGTGGGCGGAGTCAGAACGAGGAATAAATGAATAATTAATTAAGTGGTCATTAAAAACAAGAAATTGCCAAAAATCGTGTTTCTAGGACTTCTATCTTTGTTGCCGTGGTAACAGGCTCATTATATTTTTACTAGAATCATGTAGAAGTTTATATTTCTGGTGTCTGGACAACCCTAACCAGCACAGCGCCTCACCCTGGACGGGAAGCTGAACAGTTTGAGGAAGCCGAAGTCGTCTCCCGTGGCGAGCAGTTTATGATCTTTGGTGAGGGAGGCGGAGTTAACGAAGCTGAGCGCCGGCCAGATTCCCTCACAGGTCGGACCCAGAACAGACGTCCAGCTCGCCCAGTCCAGCTTCTCGAACTGAAACACACAAACACGAGTGTAGAAAGGTGTGTGTGTGTGTGTGTCAGTGTGTGTGTGTGTTTTTAGTGTGTCAGTGTGTGTGTGTGTTTTTAGTGTGTCAGTGTGTGTGTGTGTTTTTAGTGTGTCAGTGTGTGTGTGTGTGTCTCTGTGTCTCTGTGTGTCTGTGTGTGTCTCTGTGTCTCTGTGTGTGTGTGTGTGTCTCTGTGTCTCTGTGTCTCTGTGTGTGTGTGTGTGTCTCTGTGTGTCTCTGTGTGTGTGTGTGTGTCTCTGTGTGTGTGTGTGTCTCTGTGTGTGTGTGTGTCTCAGTGTGTGTGTGTGTGTGTGTGGTGTCTCAGTGTGTGTGTGTGTGTGTGTGTCTCAGTGTGTGTGGTGTGTGTGGTGTGTGTGTGTGTGTGTGTGTGTGTGTGTCTCTCTGGTCTGTGTGTGTGTGTGTGTTGTGTGTGTGTGTGTCTCTGTGTCTCTCTGTGTGTGTCTGTGTGTGTGTGTGTGTGGTCTCTGTGTCTCTCTCTGTGTGTGTGTGTGTCTCAGTGTGTGTGTGTGTGTGTGTGTGTCTCAGACTGACCTCGACCACACTGATGTTCTGTTTTCGTCCTCGTGGAGCCTCAAAGAAAAGCTGCTCTTTAGCTCCGGTGTTCACCTGCAGCAGTTTACCTGAAAATGTAGCATTTAGCATGTTAGCATGTATATTCAAAATGTTTTTTTTGTGAAGAGGACGCTGAAGCGAGACGGGGACGTGATGTGCAGCAAAGGGACGAGGTCGAACTCGAACCCCCGGCCGCTGCGATGAGGACTCTCGCCGCTGTACGTGGAGCAGGTTACAGAAACGCTACGCTCTACAGCGCCCCCAATATCTACCTTTGACTTGGTTCAGAGTCAGAGCACACACTTCAACTAGAGTCATATCAACGATTAAAGTTCTGGTACCGTGACACCTGAAACATCCTGACCTGGCTAACAGTTAGCCTCTCCTGCTAACAGTTAGCATGTTAGCGTAGCCTCAGAACAGGTGTGTTTACCTCTGGAGTCCCAGTCCATGTGTGTGATGTAGCTCCCGGCTCCCTTACAGATACCGACTCTCTTACTGGTCAGGACGTTGTAGATGTCCACGAAGGAGTCATGTGACGCCACAGCCAGGTACTTCCCCGCGTCTGAAACACACACACACACACCTGTGACATCACAAAACAACCAATCTCTTCCGCCCTGTGTGACAGCTGTGTGTGGTGCGTTCAGGTACCTAGGGAGAAGCGGATGTCAGAGATGAGCTCCTTGCGGTGGTGGAAGGTCACCATGTCCTCCAGTGTGTCGGCGTTCACCACCAGGAAGCTGCCGTCGTTCAGACCGACCGCCAGAGCTTTACCGTCCGGAGAGAAGGCGCAGCACCGCCCACCTGACAGGTGACATTTATGAACAAGTACCACACACTCATGTCATGATACCACAATTAAACACTGATTCAAATGTAACATCGCAGACCAGGGAGATGTAGGAGTCAGAGTGACTTAGAGACACACAGAAACATGGCGGTGTGTTTGATGACTCACCCTTCTTGAGTTTCCGCACAGCGACCATGCGGTGGTTGTTGGACAGCTCCCAGATCCTCAGAGTTTTGTCGTCGCTGACGGTCGCACAGACGGGAAGGAGAGGATGAGCCGCCAAACCCCAAACCTCGCCTTCCATGTGACCCTGAACACAACACACGCACCCAACAACATTTACTACAGAACCGGCAGAGAATGGACATTTCCTGAGGTCAGTAAATGCATCATAGACTACATTAAGATTACACACACACACACACACACTCAAACTGAGTGTGTGTGTGTGTGTGTGGTGTGTGTGTGTGTGTGTGTGTGTGTGTGTGTGTGTGGTGTGTGTGTGTGTTTGACCTGAACCAGCAGTGTCATTGGTCCGCTCTTGTCGATCTCGAGGATTTCTCCGTTCTTGGTCCCCAGCAGGATGTGACCGTGACCCAGGGTGATGGCTCTGATGGACGGGTTGTCCTCCAGCAGCAGACCTGACGCAGAGAGACAATGACTCCATGTGACTGGTAGAAACA